GTTGTGCTTTAAGTCCCTTTCCAACCCAAACCATTCTGTGATTATATGATTCTAATATAAGTTTCACATCCAAATGTTGCCCTTGAGGGTAAAAGCTGTTGTGTTTCTACTGCAGCAAAACCATGGCAGGGATGATAGACTGTGGAAGCTGTGGGACACTTTTCAATATCCTGTGGAACCCTACAAAGCCTTTTTCAAATTCAGATGCCTGATAAAGCGAACACCCATGTTAGGAAGGGAACTACTCCCTGCCACAGCTCTCCTGATGGCAACAGAATTACACCAGGAATTAATATGAATGAGGATTGTTGGGTTTGGTTGGGGTTTTTTTGTAGTTCTAAGAAACTGGATTTACACAATAAGCAAGGAGAGACTGGATGTTAGATTCTTCCTGAAGCTCCTTCTGCTGGTTTGAAGACTGGCATTGCTCCAGACAGCACAGCTGATGAAGGCAGTTTCTATAGTATGAGTATGGATACTATAGAAATAAAAGCTTCTTCGAGACAATTCATCAGTAGGAGATGGCTTGTGTTTGCGAGGTACTCTCCTGATCTCACATAGCATATGTCTCTGTGGAGCTGAGAAAGGCTGTCAAGGAAGATCTCCTTTTCCAAAAGGCTGGCTTCTCAAGCAGATCTTTCTGTCATTCACAGACCCAGCCTTTCAAAGCTCTACAGCTTTTTATAAGAACAGAAAGAACAGCCAGTAATTCTAACTTATCACCAATAAAAATGCTTCTTTCTTTCAGTCTCCTGGGTACTTCTTTTGTTTTATCATGAGGGCATTCTGATCGCAAGGTCTGCCTGTAGCCGTGGTGGCGAGGTAAATGCCCTAGCCGCCTGATGCCACTGAACAAACAAATATAGTACCTTTGACTTGAAATCTCCCTGTTGCTTCAGTCATGTCTGGTTGCAGCTTGCCCAGAGCAGTCTCTGCCCTCTGAGAAAAAATGTGTTTATAGCAAGGCAGTAGGGACTCATGGTCACTAGGTGATTTTAGCAGGCGGGTAAAAATGAAGACTTGTCTGCAATAGATGAAACTCAAAAATTGAAATAATCTTCTCTAGCCATTTCAACTGTAGAAAGAAAATCCAGAGAGCAGAGGACTGCTCAAAAGTCCAGGCCTAATCTTCAACCAGAGTAAATCAGGATGGCATGAGTATAATTTTTAATGCTTACTGAAAGTCACTAGCACTAGATGAGGAACTTATTTGAAAAGCTCAGCTGACTTCCCACAGGAATTATCTCTATTCTTGAACACTGGGACAAATTCTGAAGATTCCAATAAAAGAAAACACTCATTCAAATAAATTCTTGCTCGCATTTTATATGTTCCAGCAGGGATACTGGCCTACAGGAGGTTTAAATGAAGGCTCAGTGAAAATAAGAGGACTTAAATACTTTTCGAAAAAAACAGGAAATCTGGTTTCTCTCTCTGCCTGAGTGTGTGATACAGTTACAAAACAAAGCAGAAAGGAGTCCAAGCCTCAGAATTAAAGGCAGAACTGAATTTACCCATAACAGAAATTTGCAGGTCTACAAGCTTGAAGCAAACATTTTGCAAAAGCCAGAAACACTGGCAAAATTTGTGTCGTGTTCCAGAGTTTAAAATACAATGGTCATCCAGGAAAATGAATGGCTGTAAGGAGCCCATCCATCTCTTAGAGATAAAAAGCAGTCTGAGTGAGGCCTTGAGGATCTTAACTGTCCTTGGGTAAGGGGTATAAAACCCATCACAGTAACAGACTTCAATTCCCCTACAATACATCACTCATTTTCAAATGAAGTGGAAAGTGGCAAGAAAACTGTTTATTTCCATGAATCTTACATGTCCTGCCCTGGTGAAACTTAGGGCCCTGTTACAACATTTACAACACAGGAAGAAGGAATGAAGCTCTATTTTCCCATTGTTTTGCTATGTCTTTTTCCCTAAAATGTGATGGATGTAGCCATCCCTCCTCCTAATGCCAGGAGTATAGTGATCATGGTGCCAGACCACAGTACTGCCATTCTCCTGTGGGCACATCAGGCTATTTTAAGTAAACTCCAATCAGAGTCATGATTACATTTAGACTTGGGTTTAACTTCAGCTCTCCTGGCCATGTTCCAGCTAAGATAATTACGTTCTGCTTGCCAAAATTCTCCACTCATTTTCAGTACAAAACAAGCTATCCCCCATACACCTGTGACTTTTGTTTTTAAATACCTGTCCCATTTCACCCCGAAGGTGGCTGAACTCTAACGCCGTGAAAACAATCCCTGCATTTACAGTTCATAGAGTGCTTTGGGATCCTCTGGGACTAAAGTCATTAAATGAATGTATACTGTAATATTAAAAAATATATGGAACTTTATATAAACAGTTGCCATTGTTGCTGGCCCTGAGTAGCACCAGGGGATCCATTGTGTTGAGAACCATAAGTGCAGAATAGAGATGGTTCTCCAAATTGGATCCAGCTGGAAGAAGTGGTCACATAGCCAGCTGCTGCTTCCTGTCATGCCACAAGAGCACAAGCAACTTGGTGGGGTGCTAAAGGGAGGGCTACAACTGCCTCAGTGCCGTGAATAGATCTAACTTGGCTCCTTCCGAAAAGAGTTCATAATCTACACTAAAATGCCAGGCTCAGCAGGTAGGCAACAGCAGGCAGGTGAAGGAAAGCTATCACAAATTTCTCCTGGGGTTTGTAAGTCAATGGCTGACACTTGCAGGAAAGCAGATTGAATTCACAACATATTCCACATATCACATTTTGTAATGCAGATAAGATCTCCTCCTCTCCAGCTTGTAGAGGAGAGGGCCAAGGGTGTGAGTGGGAGATACAATCAAGGTTTACAAAGTCATCAAAGTGATAGATAAGCTGCATGTGGAACTGTTGATCACCAAATCTCAGAGTATTAGAAGGAGAGGACATTGACTGAAAGTAGTAGTAGATCAGCCTAAAACAGATACAAGAAAGTACTTGTTTACGCAGCAGGTAGTGAACTTGCGAATACTTGCTGCCTCAGGAGACTGTGAGGGCAGGCAGCCTCAGCGGGCTCAGATAAACCCATGGACAACAGGTCCATAGATGGGCACTAAAGGCAAAAAGCAGAAGTGTGGTCTCTAACATCTCTATTCCAATAAGCATGAATTTGGAGGCAGTAAAAGGAGACTGGAAAGTAGGAAATGGCCTTGTGCACTTGCCTTCCTGTCACTGTCAGGACTTAAACACTGGGACAGATGGATCACCGACCTGACAAAATAGAGCATTTCTTATATACTTATGATCAGCATTTGACCAATGCTGAAGGGGCTCAAGGCATGCTCAAGGAGGACAGAGCCTCGAAATACTCCAGCAGGGTACAAGCTGTAGCACTGATATGCTTAGCCCATTTTTCAAGGAAATTTGGAGGGACTAACATAGTCTCCCACAGCATGAAGTCCATTCTTGCACAGGTCATGAAAAAGGGAAGAGAGGACATCTGTTGCCTATTCTTGCTCTCTGTGTTGCTAAAAAATATACTATATAATATGGTGCTATTGCACACATTCTTAGGCATCTCCATGAATACAACGGTGCAATTTCAAGGACACATTACTCCCTCCTAACTGACATATTTCTTTGTCACTAAAGTATTGTGTTCAGCATTTGAAGGGTGTAATTCAGGCTGTAGGATGAGAGTTATCATCCATATATTTCTATTACAAGACACTGTAAAGTGTACAAGAATCATTAGAAAAATTAAAATAGACCAGTCATTTTCACTCTTTGGTCTACATATACTGAGTTTGGTTATCTACCACAAAAGAGGAATTTTAAAATATGAACACTGTTATCCATCAGTTCTTCTTTTAGTTATTAAGTAAAACCAGATCTCCTTCTCCTGATCATTCTGTGCTTTATTTACAACTATATTAACCCCAAGACTCTCCACTAATGTACAGAGTGAATTTACACTGCAATTAAGACAAGAACCAGGATCAGTGGGTCTTCTGCACCCTCTCCTTTCACCTATGGTGGGGTTTTCTTCCCCTTAAAAGCCTGATGTTTGCCCTGCCTTTAACCCACCAAGCTCTATCCACCCCCTACATACATGTATCTGTGCATAGGTACTCACGCTAGCCTAGCACCGCAGTTTTCGCCTTCAATATCTGCTCCAGGGACGTTGTCTGTGTTCACGGACTCGGTCTCACTGGTGGGCATGCTCACTGTAAGAGTCAAAGGGAAGAAAAAGAGAAGGTTGACCATTAGAACCTGGCACACCTATTAATGAACCACATGAGTGAAGGAACTGGCTTAATGAAAAGACCCTCAGCTGCAACTCCTGAGGATTAAGCAATTTGCTGAGCAAGTCCAGTGCCTCCCTGCACAGGTCAGGCTGGGCAGGTAGACTTCAGGAACATACACAGGTTACTCAGATGCTAAAGAAAAGGGAAGAAGCAGCTGCTCTCTTTCTTTCAGAGTCAGTTCCTGGAAATTTTATGAATGAGAACCATTGAAAATTAACAGAACCTGGCAAAGCCAACAAAAAAGCTTTTTCTTTTCAATGGAAAACTTAAAAAAAAAAAAGAAAAATAAGGTCCTTTACTTCCATCAGCCCAACCATCTCACTGCCCTCCTCAATCCCTTGTGTGATAAGTAGAGTGCAAATAAAAAGTACCAGATTGACGGGTATTCAGACAAATGGCTTCTCTTAGACTGACAGAAAGTACCATATAAATAATACTGATGGCTCATCTATCACACACTAACCATTAACCTGTTTCAACCTTACACGTATAAACTGGACCTATAAGAGGGGAATTCAGACTGAGCCATTCAGATATTACCAACAAAGGAGCTAATGAATATGGACTATGGTGGAGATTTTTTGTTGACACCCACCAACTAAGAACTGGACAGAATCTCCCAGGCTGTTACAAAAGTATCATGGAACAAACATCAAATGAAAGTTACCAATCTCTTCTGGATTCAAGGACCTGTCACATTTTCTATCTGTTAGCAAACCTCAATATCGTATTTGCTTCTACAGATTATAAAAAAAGTTTTAAAAATCACAATTTCCATTCCACCAGTTGCTCACAGCTCTTATACGAGCTCTAATAACTCCACAGTCTATAATCATTCAACATAAGCTAGGACAACGGATAGGATCCAACACGTGTCCTCTTCCCTCCTCCCCCCTTCTTTAATAAAGAAAACAAACAAAAAAACTGAATGATGGAAGAGTTAAACAGATCTCTCAGATGTCTGGTAGAAATTCAGAACATGACCTATATTAGCAGTTGGATATATATCTGAGGTGAGACTGGAGAACATGCACTATTTAGCTGTTGCAGAGGCTTCTAACAGCCTTTAAGAATACTTTACTCAGTACTAAGAACGTATCTACTTGTGGGTCCTTGGTGCAAAAGGAGGCAATGTAGAACAGGTAGGCTCCACATTTTAATTGGGCAGATGTTTAACAGGCCATGGAACCAGGTCTTCTTTCACAGGCGAGAAAGATACCAGAAGGTTCTTCCAAAGGGGTCCTAGGTTCCTGTTTTGAAAGCAATCATGGTAGAAATGTCCCTCAAAATGAACTATCTTTCCTTCACCCCACTCCAGCAATTCATGTGCCTACAACATATGTCTTGGGAAATCTACAGTTTTTGTGCTGTGTTCTTAGGACCATATGAAATAATGGACTGTCTAGTACTCTTGACATAAGTATGAAATATTGTACTCTAACGGTGCCTGTTCCTTTACAAAGACTAGAGGTTTTAATAAGCTTGTTTGCTGGAAATACAAATTAAGGAAGCAACTGAATTCACAGTTTGGTGCACACGAAACAGTCAAGAAAGCTGTAAGAAAAACCAACACTCATAATTGAAATTTTCGGACCAGACTAAGCCCTTCAGGGAAAAAAAAACCCACAAAACACCGATATTTCGCAAGTCATCTTTGAAAATGAGGTAAAGCGCTCTCAAGACATATTTGAGCTTATTTTGCAAATGGAAAACAACTTTGAAGACGTTAGCGAGAGATTGATTTGCAGAGCAGCGTGTTACCTGGAGTGCACGAAGAGGACACGGCACAAGCAACAGAAAAGGCAAGGCACGCACATGCAGGAGTACAGAAAGCTGTAGTTATGTCAGTCTGTACAGAGATACATAGACACACACACAGATACACAGCGTGGACAGAGTGCAGCGGAACATTACCATGGGTTTCTGTGGAGTGACTAAACCAAGCAAACTTTCCTTTCTTCTTATCAGGCAAGCCAGCTGGAGTGCTTCCTTTCACAGACAAGATGGTCAGTGTCAAGTACCAGGAACAAGACATCAATAGAGAACATGCAGCCAGTGACAGGCGAAAGAAAAAGACAAGGAACTCAGCTTACACATGACATCCACTTCTGTCTGAAAACTTCATCATGTGAATTAAAAGTACAAAATTAAAACCAAAGGTATCTGGAAGTATGAAATATTACAGCAGACCATCAGAGGATAATTATTCCTTGCTTTCTGCTCTTTTCGTATCTGACTTCTGAGAACATGCTGCTGCTGAATTTAAGTTTATGGGTAAAAACCTTTCTCCAGTGGTATCGATGGCAAAACACATCTTGTTTGACTGTCTGAGCCACTGAAATCGATGAGACTAAGGGAATCACAATCTGTCCCCAGGTTACCTCCTGACCCGTAGAGTCAGAATCTGGACTAGCCTATTTTTGAAAGAGGTTCCTTGGCTTTCCTCTGAAACTGCTCCAATATCTAGAAACTCTTTCAAAAATGTCAGAGCTACTAAAGGGAAGTTATTGGGGTAATCACAATTCTCTGCTTTTCTCCATCTCTAGAGATTAACAACATCCATTGAGCACTTGGATGTACACTGCCTTACTCAACCCAGGATACCCCCAGGATACATCTCCCGATTTCCATTTCAGTTTACAACTGGCACCTGCCCTCTGACATCCTCGGCTGCACGGCTTGTCACGGCATTAGTGTCGACTCTCTGCAATCGGCTATGCATGCACAGAGAAGTCTTAGACCATACGTCAGACTTCCCTAATCTTCCTGCTGCAGAAAGCCAAATTGAAGTGCGGGGTGCAGGTGCAGCAGCACAAGGCTGAAGAGGCTCCTGGGGTCCAGGCTGGCTTGCGGGCACTAGCTCACACGAATTCATTACACTGCACTGATGGAAAACGTTCAGGACAACAGAAAGTACTAAGATGGCATCAAGTACAAGAGAAATGATGGCCTGGAAGTTACAGGTCAGGACAGACAGGAGGTTAGGACTGTATTCCCCAGTGTGGCATGCTCTCACTTATTTTACCTGGCACCTGACATCACCTTCGATATCAGGGGCTGAGCATGTGTGCAGATGTTGTGAGGTCCCTCCAGGCCAGTTCTCATGGAGGGACGATGCTGTAGAAGAGGTACGTGTAAACTGGGGCCGAATATGAGAGGAAGCAAATCAAATACTGCCCGGATGGCTTTCTTATCTGAGTTCTCAGAGACACAGACCTCGTGTCCACACGCCGGCTCCAGTCTAGAAACAAGGCAGGCATTTTTTGAAGTCTGGGTAATTGATTACTGGAACCATCTGACCAAGAATGCTGGTGGTAAATCCACCACAGGAATGTTTTAATCAGGAAAGGATGTTTTTTCTAAATGGTGGGCTCTAGTCCAGACCAGAGTTATGTTTAGGACCAGGGCATACACACTATGCCATCTCACTGGCCACTTCCTCCTTGTAATTTGGGGAGCTGAGATGAAAGCAGAAGAAGAGGCAAATGTAGATTTACCCCCACCTGGGCACAGAGCAACTTAGCAGTGGAGATCCTGGTGCCTCGCCTGCTGTGCTATGAGTATGCAGTGACTTCGGATCTCTTACGGGAGTGATTCTCAGTCAACTTCAAAAAAATCCAGTGCTTGTATCCAAATCAAAGATCCCTCGGGCGCTTCGTTCCACCAGACGTAGAGGGCACGTTGTCTCTCTGTGGGCCCCCCAACTCCCCACTTCCTGGCCTTCAGGCAGACCATTAAATCTTCCATTTACCATCATACTTTGCACCGAAGGCACCTCAGTGCCCAGACTGCAGCACGGGACAGACAGCGGTCGATCCCTGTGCCTACTTCTCAACTGCCCACCTAACACCCTGAGGTATTGGGTCAAGCAACCAAATACTGATGTCATATGTAGGTGACTTCTTGGTAGTGGAGAAAAACTTTGCCCCCTCACCCCTCCATCCTAAGTGACAGCAGGTTCTTAAAGGGGTGAGAATGGAGATCTCTGGGTCTGAATTTATCATCACATCTATAATTCACTCTGATTGATGAAGTCTCCCATTAGTTACGTATTCTCTAGGTAGCACAGAATAACATTTTTTTAAAGGAAAGCGAAACAACTTTTCAAAGGCATGCGTGGTTTCAGCAGTGCGTAAACCATAAGGACCAGTAGGTTTTATACTCTACGGTTGCTTCTGAAGCCTTTGCACTTCTTGTATCTTGCCACAGTGTGGCTCATCTCTGAATGTAACCTTTTCCTCCTGGGCTACCGAAATTCCAATTCCACATTACCTACATGACATTCCTGCAGCAACTAAAGCAACAACAAAAGCTACGTAACAGCTTCCTTAAAAATAAATCTGAGAGATTCTTCATGCTATGTTAATTCTATCTCTGAGACCCAACAGACAGGAATAAGGACAAAGATTCTGCAGGCTGTGACTGGCTAGACAGACAGATGTGCAAGACCCTTTGAGAGCCTCTGTTCCATGTCACTGGCATCAAGCATTAATACCAGCTCTACCCTTGCACTAACATATGTCCCTCCTCCAATGAAATGCCCCACGGACATGCAATGAATTATTAGATGGCAGGCAGCCAAAAGAGAGCCAACCACCGAAACAGAAAGCTGGCACAAGAAAATACCCCTCTGTGTAGCCCTGAGATAATTTTTCCTTTACACACTTCGAGAATAATATTTACTCCCACTTCAGAAATATCATTACAACTGTTGCATCTTGCATTTATGATATGTTTGTCATCTCAGCAGAGGAAGTAATTCTAATATTCAGATTTATGTCCATGGATTACATACTAATTCCACACTTGTTCCTGAATTTCACTTTAATACGGTGACAATAGAAGGCCCAGAGATGATCATGCCTGGGCAAAGTCTACCCAGTTCCAAAGCATAAATTTTTCACAGATTTTAATGGGAC